GCCAGCCTCTCCCTGTGTCCCTGCTTGGCCATGCCTAATTGCAGCACAGCCTCAGATGATCTTTTGGGGTGCTTCCTAGTGGCCGCTGCCATAGCTTTTTCACCAACAGACCCCACCTAACCAACAGAAAGCTTTTGCAAATGGGCTGCTGCCAGCACACATCTGCCACAGACATCCCCTGACTGCTTTGCCTGCACCCCTCATTGGAGTGTTGTTGCAGGCAGACTGAGAGCACTGTGGACCCTCCAGTACAGCAGTTGCTTATCTGGAAGGGCCAGAGAACAAGATTATGGGCCTGGACAGAGGCCTCTGGATTACAGCATGTAACCCACGAGTGCTAAGCTGAGCCCTGGTACCCGGAAATCATCCAGAAACAAAGCTAGTCAACTAAACCCAACTTGTATAACAGTCAAACCCTCAATGACATCAAAGAAGATAAAAGCAAAAAAATCCCATCTAAAGGACAGCAACTTCAAAAATTAAAGGAACATCATTCTACACACATGAGAAAGAACCAGAGCAAGAATTCTGGCAAGTCTAAAAGCCAGACTATGAGCATACTATTGCCTAGTGATGGTTCTTAACCAGATCGAAATGGCAGAAATGACAGACATTCAGAATTCAGAATTCAGAATCTGGATGGTAACGAAGAACATCACGATGCAGAAGGAAGCTGAAACCCATCCCAAGGAATCTAAGGAATCCTGTAAAATGAATCAAGCTGAAAGATGAAATAGCTATTTTAAGAAAGAACCAAACTGATCTGATAGAGCCGAAAATCTCACTACAAGAATTTCATAATACATTCAGAAGTGTTAACAGCAGAATAGATCAAGCTGAGAAAAGAATCTCAGAGCACAAAGGCTGGTTCTTCAAATCAATTTCAGTTAGACAAAAATAAAGGAAAAAAAATTTTTTTTAATGAGAAAAAATCTTGAGAAATGTAACATTATGTAGAGACCAAGCCTACAACTCACTGGGGTCCCTGAAAGAGAGGGAGAAACAGCAAGCAAACTGGAAAATACATTTGAGGATAATGTCCATGAAAATTTCCCCAACCTCACTAAAGAGGTCAACATTCAAATTCAGGAAATTCAGAGGACCCCAGAGTACAAAGAAGATCTGGAATCCTACTGAAACCATTGCAAAAAACTGAGAAGGAAGGACTCTTCCCTAACTTACTCTACAAAGGCAGCATCACTCTGATGCCAAAATCTGGCAGAAACCCAGTAAAGAAAGAAATCAGGCCAATATTCTTGATGAATATCGACACAAAAATCCTAGCAAATAAAATACTAGCAAACTGAATCCAGCAGCACATCAAAAAAGCAAATCCACCACAATCAAGTAGGCTTTATTCCTGGGATGCAAGATTGGCTCACATATGCAAATCAATGAATGTCATTCATCACATAAACAGAGCTAAAAACAAAAACCACATCATCATCTCAAGAGATGCAGGAGAGGCTTTCAAAAAAATTCACCTCTTCATGTTAAAAATCCTCAACAAACTAGGTATTGAAGAACCATAATTCAAGATAATAAGAGCCATTTATGGCAAACCCACAGCCAACATCATACTGAGCAAAAGTTGGAAGGAAGCATTCCCCTTAAGAACCAGAACAAGACAAGGATGCCCACTCTCACCATCACTATTCAACATAGTTCTAGAGGTCCTAGCCAGAGCAATTAGGCAAGAGAAAAAAACAAAAGGCATTCAAATAGGGAGACAGGAAGTCAAACTCTCTGTTTGCAGACTCCATAATTCTATACCTAGAAAATCCCATAGTCTCTGCCCAAAGACTCCTAGATCTGATGAACAACTTCAGCAAAGTTTCAGGATACAAAATCAACAAAACTCAATAGCATTTCTATGCACCAATAACATCCAATCTGAGAGCCAAATCAAGAACCACAATCTAACTCAAAACAGCCACAAAAAAGAATAAAATACCTAACAAAGAAGGCAAAAGATCTCTACAAGAATTACAAAATACTGCTAAAGGAAATCAGACACAACACAAATAAGTGGAAAAACAACCCATGCTCATGGATAGGAAGAATAAATATTACTTTTTTTAAAATGGTCATAACTGTCCAAAGCAATTTACAGATTAAATGCTATTCCAATTGAACTACTGATGTTTTTCACAGAATTGGAGAACTATTCTAATATTCATATGGAGCCAAAAAAGAACCTCAATAGCCACAGCAATAATAAGCAGAAAAAACAAAGCTGGCAGCATCACTTTACCCAACTTCAAACTATTTACAAGATAATAGTAACCAAAAGAGCATGGTACTAGTACAAAAACAGACACAGAGACCAATGGAACAGGTTAGAGCACCAAGAAATAAAGCTGCACATCTACAAGCATCTGATCTTCAAAAAAGTTGGCAATAACAAGCAATGGGGAAGGAACTCCCTATTCAATAAATTGTACAGGGATAACGGGCTAGCCATATGCAGAAGATTGAAACCAGACCCCTCCCTTTCACCATACACAAAAATCAACTCAAGATTTATAAAAGACCTAAATGTAAAACCTAAAACTATAATATCCAGGGTAGAAAACCTAGGAAATATCTAGAAATACCTAGAACATAGGACCTGATAAAGACTTCATGATAAAAACTCCAAAAACAATTAAAACAAAAATGTAAATTGACAAGTGGGGCCTAATTAAACTAAAGAGCTTCAGCACAGTGAAAGAAACTATTAACAGAGTAAACAGACAGCTTAGAGAATGGGAAAAAATATTTGCAAACTATGCATCTGATGAAGGTCTAATATCCAGAACCTGCAAAAACTTAAATTTACAAGAAAAAAGCAACTCTATTCAAAAGTGGGCAAAGGACATGAACAAACACTCCTCAAAAGTAGACATACAGCCAACAAGCATATGAAAAGATGGTCAACCTCACTAATCACTAGAGAAATGTAAATCAAAACTACAATGAGATACCATTTCACACACCAGTCAGAATGTTTATTATTAAAAAGTCAAAAAAAAAAAAAAATAACAGATGCTAGTGAAGTTGTGGAAAAAAGGGAATGCTTATACACTGCTGGTGGGAATGTAAATTAATTCAGCCACTATAGAAAGCAGTTTGGAAATTTCTCAAAGAATTTAAAACATAACTACTATTGGACCAAGCAATTCCATTACTGGGTATACATCCAAAGGTATTTAAATAATTCTACCATAACACCAATGCACACATATGTTCACTGCAGCATTATTCACAATACCAAAGACATGGAATCAACCTAGATGCCCATTAACAGTGGACTGGATAAAGAAAATACGGTACATATACACCATGGAACACCACACAATCATAAAAAAGAATGAAATCATGTCCTCTGCAGCAGCATGGATGCAGCTGGAGGCCAACGTCCTAAGAGAACATAGAAACAGAAAACCAAATATTGCATGTTCTCACTTATAAGTGGAAACTAAAAACTGAATATATGGTTGGGTACAGCAGCTCACACCTATAATCTCAACATTTTGGGGGGCCAAGGCAGGTGGATCCCCTGAGGTCAGGAATTTGAGACCAGCCTGGCCAACACCGTGAAACCTCACCTCTACTAAAAATACAAAAATTAGCCAAGTGTTATGGCATGTGCCTATAATCCCAGCTACTTAGGAGGCTGAGGCAAGAGAATTGCTTGAACCAGGAGGCAGAGGTTACAGTGAGCGGAGATGACGCCACTGCACTCCAGCCTGGGCAACAGAGTAAGACTCCATCACAAAAAAAAAAAACACAACACATACAAAAAATTGAATACATATAGATACAAAATAGAGGATGACAGACATATGTACCTACTTGAGGTGAAGAAAAGGAAGGTGAGGACCAAAAAGCTGCCTATCAGATACTATGCTTACTACCTGAGTGACGAAATAATTTCTACACCAAACCCCAGCAAAATGTAATCTACCCATGTAACAAACCTGCATATGTACTCCCTTAAGCTAAAATAAAAGTCAGAAAAAAAATAAATAAATCCTGCCTAACATCTGCTTTTGTAAGTTAAAATTTAATTAGATTTAATTTTATCATTAATTAGATTTAATTCCGTCATTTATGTACCGTGTAGGGTTGTCTTTGTGCTATAACAGTGGAACTAAACACTGTAGCTGCAAAACAGATCAGATAGCCCACAAAGTCTAAAATACTTACTATCTGGCTTGTTGAAAGTTTGCTGATTTGTATTCTAGGATGATAAAAAAACAAATAACTAAAAATAAAACGCTATAGAACGTTAAAATAGATGGTATAAATAGAACAAGATAGACGAGTTAACTGGTTTCTGCCTACGTCAATAAATTCAGCCAGGCCCAGTAGTTCATGCCTAGAACCCCAGCATTTTGGGAGGCTGGGGTGAGAGGAATTCTTGAGGCCAGGAGTTTGAGATCAGCCTGGCCAACACAGTGAGACCTTGTCTCTATTTAAAATTTTAAAAATTTGATTAGTAAATTCAAAGCACTGACAAACATGTGGCTGTTTTCCTTTCCCCTCAAAAAAGCATTTTCAAAAAGGAAGATGACCTTAGAAGTTCTAAGTGAAAAAAAATTTTTTTTCAAATAAAAGTAAAAATTTGAAAAGTTACATGAACACTCCATTGCTAAAAAACTTACCATCATCATTCCAGGTTTACTTAATATGATACATTAAGGCACTGTGTTGGGCCATAAGCAAATCACATTTTTCTGAAAGCACGTTCAAATAATAAATTATACTAAAAAGTGTATTTGACAAACATATACATAAAAGGAACTATGCAACATACCATAAGAAAATTCATAAAAAAAAGACAGAGTAAACTTAAAATGCTAACAACTGAATAGAAAAATAATCTCCAAGACTTCAGAGTTTAAAAAGTTAAGTGTATTTCATTGTAATTTCTGTTATTTCTTTCATTTTTATGTAAATAGATTTATTTGTCTGTTTATAACCTACACTAGTTGAAAAATTTGAAAGCTTATTACCTGAATTGAATGTTCACTAAATGAGGCTGGGAGCCATCTGATTGCCAGTAAGTTTCTAGATTGTCATCTCGTAACTGATCCACTCCAAATCCTAAAAACATCAAAAGTGTCAATAAATGTCTGTGAAAAAAGAAAGAACTATATATGCAAAACATGAAATTAACATATGTATTTGTCCAGAAATTTTGATAAACAGAATGGCCAGAAATGCTAAATTTATTTATTTATTTATTTATTTTTGTAGAGACAGGGTCTTGCTGTGTTGCCCAGGCTGGCCTCAAACTCCCAGCCTCAAGGTATCCTCCTGCCTTAGCCTCCCAAAGTGCTGGGATTACACGTATAAGCCATCATACCCAGCTGTGAAATTTAAATTAACCAGAATTCCATCCTTTAATTCAGAGCTCAAATCTTAGAGAAATATCACTTGCACATACAAAGCCTATATTAGGATCAAGTTTTTTTGTTGTCACCTTTTTAAAAAACATTTTCTAGGATATATTTTAAAGTACATATGCATTCAAACTCAAGTTTATTATTCTTTTTATAAACTAATAGTAAGAATGAGCCCCAATCCTACAAAATCCTCAAAAATAAACACTTTGTAATAAGTTCAATATGTCATACTTACTGAGACAAGAAGAAAGACAACTCAGAAACATTTCCAAAAGGTATATTTTGAAACCAAATGCTTCTGATTAAAATTCTGATCAATCAAAATTAAATTTACCCAGAATTCCATATTCTCCAGCCATTCTAGATAATTGAAGTTGTACTATCCTGTGTTTTTTTCCTGATTAAAACCATAATAATTCATACAAATGCTAGAAATGAACCTGATTTAATAGTAAAATATGGACTTTTCAATAAGAGAAATAAGTTTACCTTACATTTCAATTTTTCACTAAGTAATATATTCATTATGGAACAAATCCAAAAGGAACAGAAAAAAACACAGTGAAAAGTCACTATCCCTCTACCATCTCATTCCTCTCTCTAAATACAATTAATGTTGTCAGTTTATTGCATGCCCTTTCACAGATACCATACACATATAAAAGCGGTCATACACGTATTCTTTTCTTTCTCCTTTCTTTACATAAATGATAGCATACAATAAATAGCTCTGCGTGTTGCTGTTTTTTATTTTTACTTAACATATCTGGAGATATTTTTCCATACGAGTATTTATTCCACATCAGTAAGTTAACAAGAATAATAATAGCAAACACTGGCATCACATTAACTATGTGCCAGGCACATTCTAAACATTTTATATGTTAAATAATCTAATATTATTAACTCATATAACTCAACATAAACAGCTTCCATAGTTTATAAGATTGTATAGTATACCACTGTCTGGAAATATCATAATTATTTAACCATACCCCTACCGAACATTTAGGTTGTTTTCAATGTTTTGCTATTACATACAATACTGTAATAAATACCTGTCTGTCTATAATTTTTAAATAAATGTTATTTCTAGAGAATAGATTTCTAGGAATAGAATCCTGGGTCATTTGAATCTTTAATTTGATAAATATTGCCCAACTGTCCTCTAAAAAGCTTCCTCACTAAAAATGTAAAAGAATATATATTGCCAGGTAGGAGGATCCAAGATGGCCAAATAGGAACAGCTCTGGAGTGCAGTTCCCAGCAAGAACAATGCAGAGGGTGAGTGAACACTGCATTTCCAAACGAGTTATTACTGCCCACAGACCAGGAGATTCCCGGGCTGAAAAGTGCCACAAGTTCCCAGCATGGCTATTTCAGCCAACACAGCAGGGTCTCTGCACAAAAACTCACACAAATCTGGGTGGCTGTTTTAACTGGCGCCTGAAATGCCTGGGAGACAGAGCCACCCATTCAACAGAAACAAAGGAGGCTGAAACAGGGAGCCAGGTGATCTGGCTTGGCGGGTCCCACCCCCACAAAGACCAGCAATCTGATACACTCTGGATTGAGAGTTTCACAGCAAGCACAGCTGGACCCAGGATGGTCCAGCCTTGTTGGGGGAAGGGCATCTGCCATTACCAAGGCAGTCCACCACTACCGAGGCAGTCTGCCACTACCAATGCAATCTGCCATTACAGAGGCAGTCCGCCATTACAGAGGCAGTCCGCCATTACCGAGTCAGTCTGCCATTACAGAGGCAGACTGTCATTACCAAGGCAGTTCTAACTATATCTCTATAAACAAAACCCAAGGAAGCTCACACAGCAGCTGGGCAGAGCCCACAGCAGCTCAGCAATGCCTCTGCTGGCAGACAGTGAATGGGCTACTTCCTTGCTGGGCAAGGAATCTCTGAAAAAAGGTAGCAGCATGTCAGGAACTTATAAATAAAGCCCCATCTTCCCAGGAGAAAGCACCTGGAAAAAACAGCAGTCATGAGTTCCGCTGCAACAGACTTAAACCTACCTGCCCAGCAGCTCTGAATGAGCTCAGCACTTGAGCTCCTATAAGGGACAGACTGTCTCCTCAAGCACCTCCCAGACCCCATATATCCAAAGAGTCACTTCATAAAGGAGAGTTCAGGCTGACATCTGGCAGGTATCCTTCTGGGACAAAGATAACAGAAGAAGAAACTGGCAACAACTCTTACTGTTCTGCAGTCACAGCTCATGATCCCCAGGCAACAAGCGTCTGCAGTGGACTTCCAGCAGTCCTACAGCAGAGGGGCCTGACTGTTAGAAGCAAAACTAAAAAACAGAAAGAAATAACTTCATCATCAACAAAAAGGATGTCACTCAGAGACCCAATCTGAAAGTCAACAACTACAAAGACCACAGGTAGATAAACCCACAAAGATGGGAAGAAACCAGTGCAAAAAGGATGAAAACACCCAAAACCAGAACGCCTCTCCTCCTCCAAGGGATCACACCTCCTCACCAGCAAGAAGACAAAGCTGGATTAAGAATGAGTCTGATGAATTGACAGAAACAGGCTTCAGAAGATGGGTAATAACAAACTTCTCTGAGCTAAAAGAACATGTTCTAACCCAATGCAAAGAAACTAAGAACCTTGAAAAAAGGTTTGATGAAATGCTAACAAGAATAAACAGCTCAGAGAAGATATAAATAACTTAATGAAGCTGAAAAACATAACAAGAGAACTTCGTGAAGCATACACAACTTACAAAAGCCAAATCGACCAAGCAGAAGAGAGGATATAAAAGATTGTAGATCAACACACTGAAATAAAATGAGAAGGTAAGATTAGAGAAAAAAGAGTGAAAAGAAATAAACAAAGCCTCCAAGAAATATGGGATTATATAAAAACACCTAATCTACCTTTGATAGGTGTACCTGAATGTGATGGAGAGAAAGACTCCAGGCTGGAAAACACTCTTCAGGATATTATCCACGAGAACTTCCCCAACCCAGCAAGGCAGGCCAATATTTAAGTCCAGGAAATACCCAGAACACCACAAAGACATTCTAAAAGAAGAGCAACCCCAAGGCATATAATCATCAGATTCACCAGGGTTGATATAAGGGAAAAATGCTAGGGCAGCCAGAGAGGAAGGTCAGGTTACCCACAAAGAGAAGCCCATCAGACTCACGGCGGATCTCTCAGGAGAAACCCTACAAGCCAGAAGAGAGTGGGGGCCAACATTCAACATCCTTAAAGAAAAGAACTTTCAACCTAGAATTTCATATCCAGCCAAACTAAGCTTCATAAGCCAAGGAGAAATGAAATCCTTTACGAACAAGCAATTGCTGAGAGACTTTGTCACCACGAGGCCTGCCTTTCAAGAGCTCCTGAAAGAAGCACTAAACATAGAAAGGAATAACCAGCACCAGCCATTCCAAAAACATACCAAAAGGTAAAGACCATCTATACAATGAAGAAACTGCGTCAATTAATGGGCAAAACAGCCAGTTAGCATCAAAATGGCAGGATCAAATTCACACATAACAATATTAACCTTAAATGTAAATGGGCTAAATGCCCCAATCAAAAGACACAGACAAGCAAATTGGATAAACAGTCAAAAACAATCAGTGTGCTGTATTCAGCACAACCATCTCACATGCAAGGACACACATAGGCTCAAGATACAGGGATGGAGGAAGATTTAGCAAGCAAATGGAGAGCACAAGAAAGCAGGAGTTGCAATCCTAGTCTTTGATAAAATAGACTTTAAACCAAGAAAGATCAAAAGAGACAAAGAAGGGCATTACATAATGATAAAAGGATAAATGCAACAAGAAGAGCTAACAATCCTAAATACATACACACCCAATATAGGAGCACCCAGATACATAAAGCAAGTTCTTAACAATGTACAAAGAGACTTAGACTCCCACACAATAATAATGGGAAACTACAACACTCCACTGTCAATATTAGACAGATCAACAAGGCAGAAAATTAAGAATGATATCTAGGACGTGAACTCAGATCTGGACCAAGCAAACGTAATAGACATCTACAGGACCCTCCACTCCAAATCCACATTCTTCTCAGCATCACATAGCACCTACTCTAAAGCTGACCGCATAATTGGAAGTAAATCACTCCTCAGCAAATGCAAAAAAAACAGAAATCATAACAAACAGTCTCAACCACAGTGAAATCAAATTAGAACTCAGCATTAAGAAACTGACTCAGAACTGCGCAACTTCATGGAAACTGAACCTGGATAAACAATGAAATGAAGGCAAAATAAAGATGTTCTTCAAAATCAACGAGAACAAAGACACAACAGACCAGAATCTCTGAGACACATTTGAAGCAGTGTCTAGAGGAAAATTTATAGCAATAAATGCCCACATGAGAAGCAAGGAAAGATCTAAAATTGACACTGTATCATCAAAATTGAAATAGCTAGAGGAGTAAAATGAAAAAAACTAAAAAGCTAGCAGAAGACAAGAAATAACTAAGATCAGAGCAGAACTGAAGGAGACAGAGACACAAAAAACCCTTCAAAAAAATCAATAAATCCAGGAACTGGTTTTTTTAAAAAAAATCAATAAAATAGACCACTAGCCAGATTAATAAAAAAGAAAAGAGAGAATAATCAAATAGCTGCAATAAAAATCTATAAAAGGGATATCACCACAGATTCCACAGAAATACAAACCA